CATCAATGCTGCGCTGAATCTTTGAGCTACGTTCTCTGTTTGGGTCGTCATCTACAAGGATTTGCATACCTTGCTGGGTCATGTTGAAAGATTATGCCATCCTCTTGGTAGTTAGCGTTTATGGAGGTTCTTCTTCGCCGTTTTCGTCTTCAACAGGACTGTGTTCTGCAAGTTGTTGCAAATCCTCATTGGTGAGCTCTTCTGTATGGGATGCCAGACGTCCTTAATATTCTCTGATTCCAGCTCATCAAAGTCTGCCTCTCTAGCCAAGCTGAGGATATCCCTATTCACTGCTGGTAATAAGTCCGTGAATCCCGTAAAACAGTTGACACATCCGGGCCACAATTTACCCCACACACCATTCAGGCAACTTTCAGAAAGCCTTGCCAATGTTGCCAATTGCATGAAGAATGTTGAAGCCGAGCCAATATTCTCGGATCATTGGTTTATTTTCTCCGTCTGTAGCCTTGAGCAGCTGGGCCATGGTACATAAATAATACGCCTTGAATGCACAGATGACGCCTTGGTCCATAGGCTGCATCAGTGCTGTCGCGTTGGGAGGCAGGAATACAACTTTTACACTGTCAGGCAAGTAGTTGAGATTGTGAGGATGAGCTGGAGCATTGTCAACGATCAGAAGAATTTTGAAGTCAAGGTTCTCCTTGGCACAGTATTCCTTCATTGCAGGGACGATGTACACATTTAACCACTGGCTAAATATGGCGCCGGTTATCCATGCCTTCTTGTTTGCCTTGTAGATGATTGGAAGGTGATCCTTAGAGTAACCTTTCAAGGCCCGTGGGTTAGCAGAGCAAGAAATCAGCATAGGCTTCAGCTTGAAGTCGCCGGCAGCGTTCGCGCATAGCAGCAGCATCAAGCTCTCTTTTGCCGCTTTAAAACCTGGCGCTCTTTTCTCCTCCTTGGAGATATAGGTCCTCTCAGGCATCCTCTTCCAAAAGAGACCAGTCTCATCCATATTGAAGACTTGTTTCGATGAGCAGCCTCCTTACTGGATAATCCGTTTGAATTCTGGCTGGAATGTCTCGGCAGCAACCGTATCTGAACTGGCAGCTTCACCAGTCATCTTTATGTTGTGGAAGTTATACCGACGCTTAAATCGTTGAAACTAGCCTTGGTTGGCAGTAAAGGTTTCTTCCTTCACCCTCTGTTTCCTTCATGTCGTCAAACAAGGATCTGGCCTTATGCTGCATAACCATAAGGCTCACAGGGGCATTGTGTTGATTCTGGTCCTCCATCCACATTGCCAGCATCTTTGCCACCTTCTCTATCACAGTACTTCTAGTACGAGTTGTCTTAGTAGCACTCAAAGAAGAACTACAGCACGTTTCCCTTTTCCAAAACGGGCTAATACATCCATTTTTGTAGCCAGGGTAATGATCTTACGTTGCCTCTTCACTACACTAGCATCAGTAGCATTTGGTGGGCGCTTGGAAGACATTTTGAATGGTGAGAGCAACAGCATTTAAGCACACACGAATAATGTGAAGTCGTAACAAAGACTGGCTCGGCGTCGCTTGGGGACACTCTGACGTTCCGCGAGTGAGGGCAGCTCGCCGAGCCGAGGGAGCGTATTGCGGCCAGAAAGGGAGTGGGTAATGTGCTGTAAAAAGTAGTCCCTGACGACACAAAACGACGTAACATGCAATCACCAAGACGTTAAACAAATTTTCGATCTCAAAACTTTTGCGACGTAGTACCGAATCAACGTTAAGCAGGACGACATAAAGCGAGGACCTACTGTACTCTGTAACATTCGATACCATAATATGCTGACCACTGGGGCTATTTATACAGACTTTTCCCTGTGAAAAAGCCATAATTTTGGGCAGCATATTACTGTACTCATTTTGTACTCAAATGTACTATGCTAAAGAACTAAAAATTTTCTCCTGTGCAAACTATGAGATGTTTATACACAAATTAATCGCTATCTTGCAAGGATTCCAGCAATGCAAGTTATATTCTTTAAGCCTAAAACAACCTTCACCCACCCCATCTTCCTCCTCTGCTGGCTGGAAGGGGGAGGGGGAGGTGGGGTGTTGACAGCCAGGAGGGGAGATTAATGTGTACTACATAGCTGTCAGGGACTCAAGGATGAAGGCAGGGTGGTTTAATTTTTTGCTCATAAATGACACTGACCTAATTGAGGAGAATATAACTTGCATTGCTGGAATTCTTGCAAGATAGCTATTAATTTGAGCATAAGCATCCCACAGTTTGCATTCGACATCAAAATTTTAATAATTAACTTTGTGCATGTGAGTACTGGTGTGATAATTTATGCAGTTGCTCAAAAGTTGTGGTTGCAGTTGCAAAGCTTTGTGACATCACTAGAGTATAATGCATTTCCATATGTTCTGGCTTATTCACTGATCAGTTGTCTAAGTGCAAAAGTAGCCAAATTGAGGCACCATGTATTAATTAACTTTAAAATAGAAATTATAAAGTAAAATGTTATAAGAGAATATTTTGGTAGTGCTGTTAATAAGTGTGCTGTGTAAGTGTCTTGGCATGTGAACCTGACTCCAACACCTCACCACCTGACTCCATCACCTCACCCTTTGCTTCATTAGCTAAGCTCGGAATTACATTGATTTATTACAGTATTATTTTACTTTTTTGGTATTGTATGTACTGTACATTTAAAGAAATATTTATATTTGCACAGTAATAATAAATGGACCCAGAGCAAAAAAATCCAGCATTACCCAAACGGTTGGTCTTCCCACCCACGCACCAACCATGTCAGGATGCGACTTAACATGATGCAATGTTTCATAACACCGGTAACCTTTGTCCCCAGGCCCTGAGCAGAAAGGTTTGGAGTAATTTTCTTGTAATTTTCTTCAGATTTTCTGGTAATTGGGCATTATTTCATAATCGATATTTGCTCCTAGACCCAGAAATTAAAATTTGGACAGATTTTCCAGATTTTTTTTTAAGTTTTCAGAAAATGCTCCTGATTTTCAACCACAGAATTTGTTCCCAAACCCAGAATTTAGGGAATTTTCCGGAAAATTCAGATAAAATTTCAATTCCGGCTATTGAAGAGTTTGGGTTTCAGGGATTCCGGCTAACAGAGATAATACTACTCTACTTAGAAATAAGGAAAACATAATATAAATCTAATAATTAAGAAAAATGAAGAGAATGGGTGAGTATGTGTGGAAAGTGAATGTATGTATTGAGGCAGTGAGCTATAACCGCAACAAGCCGCTTTCTCCCTTCTGCCCATGTGATGTCACGGCATACAGGCAGCAGCTACACACGTCTTTTGAGTCAGCTTGGTGACTGCACAGCTGAACTGAGTCACGCATACTGTATACTGTATCAGTAAACGTGAGGAATAAATAGAAGTAATAATAATAAATAAAAAAAAATTCTGTGTTGCCATTTGGCAATTGTTTTACTGGACAGGAAACAGAACAGCTGAGAGATCTACCCTGCTCCCCCTTCTCCTGCTCTGTGGGCTAACTCTTGTGTATGTAGGAAATGTTTATTCCCTTTGTGTTTTTGACCTCATGATAATTTTTTTTTTTTGCATTCTGTATGATTGTGTGTGCACGCAAAATAGTGAAAAAAAAATTACATACAGTGGTCCCTCGATTAATGAGCAAAATTGGTTCCACAGAGTAAGTCGTTAACTGAAAATTTCGTTATGTGAATCTATTATTTCAATGGGATATTGGGTAATTGGTTCCAACTCACAGAAAAAGTACATTCAAAGTACTGTATACTGGTAATAAAATTAACAAAACATTAAATATAAACTAAATAAAGTTCTGTACTGTACAGTATACTGTAAAATAATAATAAAACAATAGAATATTGTATTTTAACTTACTTTAAGGTGTGTATGTCTTCATCCCGGTGGCATTGTTTACATATCAAACAGATGATTGTAGAGGCAGTCGATGATGACATGCCATATTCTTTACAGAGTGCAATGATTCTAATGCCTTCTTTGTATTTCTTTATAATTTCTGCACTGTATATTATCAATATAACCAAATTTCAGAATGACCAACAATTTTAATGTACAAATGCAAAAATATTCAAGAGACCAACAAACTCGATGTTCGCTCCACTGTAAACAAAGTTAGACTGAGAAGTGTTGTTGGGTGATTCAATCAGCTGATGGGCGCACAAAAACTGTATCCTGTACTGTATATATTATCAATATGTTAACTAAATATCAGAATGAACAATAATTTTAATACAAAAAATGCAAAAATATTCAAGCGCACAACTTTCTCGATATTTACTCCACTGGAAACAAATGTAAACATAGAACTGATTACTGTATTGGCGGACTAGCCAATCAGCTGATGCTCGCACAACAAAGTGTGTTTCTCGTAAGGCTGTCGTTAATAGAAGTTGTACTCGCTAATAGAACTGAAAATCCTTGTGGGAGTTAATTCGTAAACCGAAAACTCATAAATTGAACAACTCGTTAATGGAGGGACCACTGTACGGTATATCTAACCCAAATTATGTGTTGAAAAATACCCATAACATAGTACAAGGCTGGCACAAAGAAATGTTTATTCCTTTTATGTTTTTGACCTTATGATAATTATTTTCTGATTTGTTTTTATACATTCTATATAAATGATTGCATGTGCATTCATCAGAGTAAGTAAAATGAAGAAAATTACATATACAGTATCTACCAGAAATTAGGAGTTGAACAATGACATAGATCACAGCTCAGCCTCACCCACTCTCAGTGCTACTGGGTGGCGAGTCGGCGACTCAGCTACACAATAACATGTTATCTCCACTAATATTATTCCTCTTTATCCTTATTTAGCCTATCCTTTTGCTTAACGATGGGTTTTTAGGAACACATCTTTATCCATCTCCATCGTTAAATGAAGGATACCTGTACAGTATAATAAATAAGAATACAGTAGAGTATCACAAAATCTCATTAGTCTTTTAACCTTACTTATGTAATATGGAAAATAAAATGGTCATTTTTAGGCTTTTTCTTTTAGCTTTATTAAATAAAAATTAAACAAAATAATAAGAGGTATTGTACACAGATCTGGCTGTCATCAATGTTCAAGTCTGTCATTCTGCTATATTACACATCTCTTCAGCCATGAGGTTTGCTATTGTGAGCTGTTCATAATTCTTACCACTAATATTTTACAGTATATTAAATTCACAACTAGAACCAAGACTGCAATGAAATGCATAAGCTCCAGTGTGTGATGCAATACCACTGATAAATGCAACTTAAATCTGTGGATCAGCTAGCCTGACTACCATTGGCTCCAGGCATCATAACAGGCATGAATGCAAACCTGTAACCCACAAACTTCTAGTTTTACTTCAATTACTCCTTGGATTTATGTTTACAATATTAAAGAAAACCTAAACAAATTAACATTTACGGTAAAAATGTCATAAATAAACTAACCTTAACCAGTAATAACTGTGCGGTAAGAGAAGTGGTGGTGTCAGCAAGAGTGAGAATGTCATTAATAAAATTTACTCCAATGTTTTGTCTATAGTGCTATGATAGTTGATCAAACACAACATCGCCAAAACTTGAGGTACTGAAGAAAGTATATTCGAAATCATGCTTATTGAGATAATATATTATATACTGTATATATTGAAGTTGGCAGTGGTGTTGGTCGGCAAAAGAACTTCGGAATCTCGAGGCAGGAATCTTGAATAGAGGTTCAAGGTATACCTAGATAACCGACGCTTATGTGGACTGCAAAAGGTCAAAGGAGAGGAATCAACGGTTTTCGAAATAATATATCCCATAAAAATATAAAAAATTTGGGAGGTTAAGGCCCAGCCACCTTCCAAAAACTCCCATATACCCTCGATATATCTCTGTTGTTCAGAGTGTCAAGCAAGAACAATAAATCAGATATATAAAGCAAGCATAATAAGCATTAATTAAGGAATGTAAGCATAAATATAGACTGTTATTCACCAGTGTTGAACCATTGAGATGACATTGAGTCATAATTCCTTCCCCAGCCAGCACCTCTGGCTGTAGGGATGGCTGATGCTTAAGCTGCTGTTTTTGCCATTAAGAGTTTTAAAAGATATCCCTACACATTTCTAACACAATTACAGGCTAGTGGAAATTTCTGTGGGCTAATGGAAAATTTTTAGATTCAACAGGCCTGCCAATACGTGCACAAGGCGTGCACCTATGTTGGTATCCCTTGCTTATAAACCTGTTCTATATGGTTACTGGAGAAATACAGCCATCTGTGGACATAATAAATGGCTTCTCCCATAATGAATTTTTTTGTTAGGTTACAATGGGAGGGAGGAGGGCGAGAATGATAAAGTGAGACGTCACCTTCGATACAACGTATCCTTTTATCCTGAAGTCAAAATACAGTAAGTCCTCGCCTAACGTCGTGGTTCCGTTCCTGAAAACCTCGACGTTAACGGCAACAACGTTAACGGAATCAAATTTCCCCATAAGAAATAGATAAAATATGGGAGTTATGTTCCCTAGCCTCCCTTTGCCCCTTAAAATACATTACATATTCAGAAATTCAATGACATTTTTATAGAAATTAGCGTATATATAAATAAACTAAATCATTTTGTATTGTACCAACTGATGGGCGGAGGTGGTGGAGCGAGTGTGTGCTGATCCGGATAGTACACATTGTTGTGGGGGTTAGACCTAGCGCAGCAGCAATGTCCACCACACGTTCACCTTTCTCAAAATGGTTTAAAACCTCCATTTTCATAGCAAGGCTAATGGTCTTATGTTGCTTCTTCACAACACTAGCAACAGTAGCACCTGATGGGCGCTTGGAAGCCATTTCGAATAGTTAGAGTACAGTATTAAGAGCAAAAACGCTAAAACACGCACGAACGCTGTGGAAGCCTAGCAAAGACTGGCGACGCTGTGACGCTCCGCGAGTGAAAGCATAGCGCGCCAAGATGAGATAGGGTGATGTGCTGTACACAGTAGTCCGTGACGATATTATACTGAATTGGCGGGACGTTATCCGAATCATAGGTATCTAAAAAATAGCGATGTTATAACGAAACAACGTTATCGGGGGCAAAGTTAAACAAGGACTTACTGTACAAATAATACATTATATTTTATCTGTTATTAAAGACTTTATATTATTTATGATAAATCGTGCGCCATAAGAGGCTGATCCTAGCAGAATATAATAATAATGAATCAATAATATTCAGGGCAAAAGCTGGCCTTGACTGCAGTCGACTGGTAGGAAAGAGATAACCTTCTGATATAACTTGGCATTTTATTTTTAAGTAACATTACTAATTATTAATCAAATTTTCTTCTCTAATTTAATATATTGTATTATTTATGAAGACACATACATCATAAGAGGCTGATCATACGAGATTATAAAAATGAATAAAAAACAAAAAACAGGCAAATGCGGTATGGTATGGTCAGTGCCCCCCCATCCTCCGAAAGGGTGAGTGGTCAGGGAACCTCTTTCCTTGTAATTTAGCTTTGTCTTTTATTTGGAAGTAAAATTATATGCTGTATCATATTTTGCTCTCTTTAATACTGCATGTTATATTATTTATGATGAAACATACACCAAAATAGGCTGATCATACGAGAATACCGTATAATAATCAAAACAAAAAAGAACTTGCAATTGTGGCAATGGCCATTCCTACACATCAAGTGTCATCTCGTATTTATTAGCTCTTGTTAGGCCTATATCAAATCTAATAGATCACACTATCCCCTTTAAAGATTACAGTATACTCTACTTAAAATGCTAGCCATCATCAGAGAGAAGAGAGAGAAGAAAACAAGAGAAAGAAGATAAAAGAAAGAAGAAAGAGATGAGAAAGAAGAAAGAGATGAGAAAGAAGTAAGAGAAGAGAAAGAAGAGAAGAGAAAAAAAGAGAAAGAAGAAAATAGAGGAGAAAAACGTGAGAGAGAAATATATGAACAACTTTTAATCTGTAGAGTCTTGATAATTCACGAAATACAAATTTGCATACTCATGGCAAGAATTTGCACCATGCCACCATTTGCCAAACTCAAAAGCTTTCTGCCGCTCCTCCTCCAATCGTCGGATCAACGGGGTAGTCAGGGAAACTTGTGGGGTATTTCCCAAATACAGTAATACCCCGCTTAATGCGGTTTCGCTTAGCGCGATTTCACGTATACGCGGTGCCTCGCCAGAGCCGAACTTTCACTTAACGCGGGTTTTTTCCACGTATACGCTCAGAGTGTCCGGCTCGAGACGCTATTTTTAAATTCGCCCCACCCGCCTGCTCCCGCCTCCGCCTGGGCAAGCCGCGCGCGGTAAGGTTGCGCAGTGCATGTCTCTGTTGCGTTATCACTGACGTCATATGACGTATCGGACTGTGATTGGCCATGCATCACTACCCCCCCTCTGCTGCTAGCTGTAATTGGCTTAAAGTATTATGACATGTCCACCCAGGGGAGGGAGGGGGGGAGGGAGGGAGGGAGGAAAGACGACGCTTGACCTAGCCGCGGCAGTTTCATCCCTCCAGGCCACCCAGTGTATACGTGAATCCATTGTTCTGTGAAATGGCTTCCGCCTGACCACCACCGCCACCAGAGAGAGACCTTTCCTTACCTGGACCCAGCCGCCCTAAGCCCAAGAAGACACGCGGTGGCCTAAGCTACGAAGTGAAATACCAGATCATTCAAGATTTGGAGAAAGGAACATGGCAAGCTGATCTCGCGCGCCAGCATGGCGTCAACGAATCTACGATTCGTACTATTAAGAAGGATGCAGCCAAGATCAAAGAGCACATGAAAATCACAAAGTCTGCAGGTGCTTCAATGATCAAGTATTGCCAGAACAGGTTGCTGGCAAAGGTGGAAAATTTACTGGTGAGTTATTTGATTCGTCAGGCGCGACGCAACATGGCGGTGGACACGCGCTCAGTGCAGGAGTACGCACGTGAACTATACGCAGCAGTGTCACATAAGCTGGGAATTGCAGAGCCCAAACCCTTCACTGCTTCCTCTGGTTGGCTGCATAGGTTTAAGAAGAGGAACAAGATCACCAACATCAACATTGGTGGTGAGGAAGCGAGTGCTGACCGTGTGGCGGCTAGAGATTTTCCTCCGTTCTTACGTGAGGTTATGGAGGAAGGACAGTACACTGACGACCAGGTGTTTAACATGGACAAATCTGGTCTTTTCTGGAAAAAGCAACCTTCCAAGACCTTCGTTGTAAAGAATGCCAGCAAGATTCGGGGCCGGAAGATGCAGAAGGAACGCATCACCGCCCTGTTTACCACCAATGCCTCCGGTACCTGTAAACCAAAGTTATCGGTGATTCACACAGCCCGCAAGCCGCACGCCTACAAGAATATGGACATGAACAAGCTTAATGTCCACTGGCTAACCGCATGTAAGGCGTGGATGTCCTCTTCTCTGTCCCTCTTCTGGTTTGACGACTGTTTTGTTCCTGACGTGAAGAAATTCTGCGAGCAACTGAATGTTCCATTCAACATTTTGTTGCTCCTTGACAACGCACCTGGACACTAGGCCCTACTTATGGATCGTCACCCCAACGTAAAAGTGGTCTTCCTTCCTCCCAACACTACGTCATTAATCCAGCCCATGGACCAGGAGTTGATCTGCAATGTGAAAGTTGCGTACTCTGCAAAGAAGTTCAAGCTCCTGAACGACTCTACCAACACCAAGGATGAGTTGCTTAAGCTGGATGACACCGACAGCGAGAGTAAAAGCGACGAGGACAAGGAACAAGAGGTGGTGACTCAAGAAGTTCTCGTCAAACAATTTTGGAAGAAGTTTAACGTCAAACAAGCTGTAGACTTCTTGGTGGAGGCATGGGATCAGCTGTCTATTGCTACGATTCGTCACGCATGGAGACGTGTTGCATGGTATGCCAGCTGAGAGGAGGAGTGAACCTGTGACTGGTGAGGTTCAGACTGTTGCAGTAGCAGTGGACCTTGCCAGAGAAGCTGCGCTCAATATTACAGCTGAAGGCTTCTCCGAGACCACCAACGAAGACATCCTAGAGGTGATCAGAGATCCTGAAGTGACTGCCGACGAGATGTTGGAAGAAGATCACGTCAGTGAAGAGGAAGAAGAAGGTGTGTCATTCTCCGAAGGACACAGTTTAAGTCATAGTGATATTAAGGGTGCCATGGAGTGTGCAGAGAAAATGAAGTCCTTCCTTTCCCGCGACAATGACGATGACCGCCATGAAGTCTTCCATACCCGGCTGGTGCAGGCTATGGAGCCGTACATCACGGTGTATCAAGACAACATTAACACTAGCTGTCAAAAAAGCATAACCGAGTTCTTTGCCCGCAACCCACCACAGTCAGCCCAAGCCAGTGATAGTGACAGAGGTAGAGACAGTGAAGATGACTTTGAGGAATTTGTCAGGGAGGCCATGACAAGTGTGGGTGACAGTGATCGTGACTCACCTGAGGGCCAGTAGCCTGCCCTCTGCCTCGGAACCAGCCTCCATCCCCGTACGCCGACCCATCTCTTCTACTAACGTAAGTGTTCAACATAACTTTTAGTTTTCCTAACCACACCTTTATTTTTCCTAACTTAACCTTTATTTTTCCTAACCTAACCTCTTCTATATTACTTGTTTTTTCATACCATCATAAAGTTAAGATAAAATTTTTACTACAACATAGTTGTGTGTCGTCAAAAAGTGGAGTTTGGGGGTCGGGCCAGTTTCTATTGGAATTAATCCCATATGTTCTGTT